TTTTGTAGGTAAAATCAGAGGCACACGGAAGGAAGGAAGGGAAGGAGAGAGGGAGGAAGAAAAAATGAAGGCACTTATCGAACACCTGCTATGTGCCGTGTACCCAGTACTGTCCGCATGGGCTCCACGAGCAGTCACAGTTCCCAGCTTTTCTCATTAGTTCATTTAGGATGCCCAAGAGCAAGTGACTATGGTGAGAACAGTTCTTCCCAGCTTTCACAGCCTGACAGGTGAACACTCGGTGGTGACGCTGAATGGTAAGTCCTGGGAGCACTGGGCCTATCCCTGGAAAACCTGTCCCAAATACTAGGAGTTTGGAGGCAGGGAGGTGCCCTAGGAATGAGCTCCTACGGTCCTCAGTTCAAACCCTGCTTCAGCCCTGAGTAAGTTTTCTCACCCCCAACCTACAGATCTCCCCCACTAACAGGGGTGGTCTCGGCGGGTGGTAGTGAGGACCATGGGAGACAATGTATGGACAGCAGTCACCTTGTCAAAAGGGCTTCATCCCTACTAATTCCCTCACCCCTGCAACGGTGGGGCGATGCTGCTGTTTTGCTGGTGAAACAGTCTGTATCACAGACTGGACGTCATCTTTTCTACTAGCTACATTCTTCTCTTGTGAGTCCGGGGGCTGTGGCGGGTAAGGTACTCCGCTGCTTACCAGCAGGTCACCAGTTCAAACTCACCAGCTACTCTGTGGGAGAAAGATGAGGCAGTCTGCTTGTGTGAAGCGCTACAGCCGTGGAAACCCTACAATTTTACCTTGTCCAACAGGATGGCTATGCGTGGAATCACTCAAATAGGAGTGGGGTTTGGGGGGGCTTACCTTCTTCAAGGAGGCCTAGGACTGTGAGAGATAAGTGCTTGGCTGCTAACCAAAAGGCCAGCGGTTCAAAGCCATCAGCCTATCTGTAGATTAGAAGACCTAGTGAGTTGCACCTAAAAAAAATTCAGACTAGCAAGTCCTCTGACAGAGAAGTCATCCTTCTCTGACTTAGAGGGCTGCCCTCAGCTGGACTCCAATCAAGCGCAATGGGTTGGTTGGGTTTGGATACCCTCCATACGGGTGTTAGTCCACAGTAAAGGGCCTGGAAGCTTTGGCTTTGTTCTGTTTTGCTATTGCTGCTCATTGTAGAGTGCTTGTAATAAGGCGAATGTTTTTCTGTGCCATGGTAAAATTGGATTAGTATAAGCTTGGTGTTCAGTGCATCCATTAAGACTGAGAACAGGTGAAGGGAGACATCGGTCAGTGTAAGTCATGAAAACATAATAACAATTTATAAATTATCAAGGATTCAGGAGGGAGGGAGGGAGGGAGGGAGGATGGGTGGGAGAGAGAGGGAAGAAATGAGGAGCTGATACCAAGGGCTCAAATAGAAAGAAAACGTTTTGAAAATGATGGTGGCAACAAGTGTACAAATGTACTTGACACAATGGATGTACATATGGATCGTGATAAAAGCTGTGTGAGGCCCCAATAAAATGATTTTTAAAAAGAGAGTAAGAACAAAGGGCAACAGAATGGCATGTCTTAAAAAAGAAAATTCCATTGGAGGTGACAAAACACTTTGGGGGGAGAGAGTGGCGATGGCTGCACGGCCCGGTGAAGGTAATCAATGTCACTGAGATGTAAGTGCAAATCTAGCTCACGTGGCATGTGTGTTATGTGCACTCCCCTACACACACACACACACACACACACCATCCTTTTAACGGGAATTTCGCGGTGGCAGGCCCAGCAAGCCATGAATCTTGTACGTCTGGGGCAGGAACCAGGAATGTGAAATTCTAACAAGCCCTGAGGGGGAGGTGGCCGCATGCCAGCAGGTGCCACCACCAGAAAACACAACCATGTGCCCATTCAAGGTATTTACCTCCTGGAATCACAGGTTGCAGCCACTGTCCCCAAATAACATGAAATGGCTAACACCGAGTTTGAAGGGCATGTGTTCAACCTGGCAGAGCTGCACCATCCCACGTTCTCCATCACGCTGCAGAACGCATCCAATCACGACCCAATCAAACAGACCAGTGGCTAGCTGCTCGTGCCCACCCCACGTGTGTCCACGAGAACTGTGTGCCACATGTTCTACTCAATGTTGCCTTTAGGAGGAGATGGGCCACCAGGTCTTTCTTCAGAGGTGTCTCTGGGCCTGGAAACTCCCACTTTGGACAGTAAGCAGCTGGTCGAGCATGTACCCCATCTGTGGCACCCACGGATTTCATCACTAAATAAACGTCTGTATATCTGAAAGCTGTCATCCAGCAGGGATACTTCGAAACCTGGCATGGTTAAAGGCAACTACTTCCTCTTGACCTTCCACATCTCCTCTTTGCTAAACTGGCATTTTTGACCTGTGCCTAAGGACCCCCGGGGGCACAGGGGATTGCAAGTTGAACGGCCAGCAGCAGTCAGCAGCGGAACCCACTCGCAGCTCCTTGGGAGAAAGAGGAGGCGTTCTGCTCCGATCTCCCCTGTAGGGAAATCCCCAGGGCAGCTCTGCCCTGTCTTACAAGGTCGCTATGAGTCAGAGTGGGCTCCATGTTAGTGCCTGTGGTTTGGGGTTCTGTCGGAGAGAAAACCCCAGCAGGCAAAGCCGAGAAATCTTCGGGAAGGCAGGGCAGAAGGGGCAGGAAGGGATGTCGAGGCTCTCAAACTGTGGGAGTCCTCGGGATAAAAGGATTGGTTCTGAGCAGGGATCCCAGGACTGCTACCACTGGGCACCGGAAACTGCTTTTCGCTCCCCTTCCAGAGATGTGAGGAAAATACAGAAATAGATTGGGTCAAAAAAGAAAGAAGAGCAGGAAAACACTGCCAAATTCTACCCTCAATTCAGAGACCAAAGATGATTCCCCAAGTGAGGTCGCTGGGAGACGCGGGTGCCCAGAGCTAGCCACTGACCTCCTGCTCATCAAGAGATTCAGCAGCCGCATTTAGACCCACAACTGAAGCACCTCCCTGTCATGCCCAGGGAATGAGACGCAGAAACGGAGTGGAAAGAGACATCTACTTGGTATGTTGAATGACACAGTTGGCCTCACCTTAAACTGGGGCACAGGAAGCATGTACAGACACAATAAAAGGGAAGTGGCTAGGCAGTGTTGGCAAGAGTGTGGAAATGAGGTGGGGTCAACCACGGAGAATTTTCATCCCCCAAACCCTCTGCATTGCCTAGAGAGACTGCTGAAGGAGGAACAGCAAAGATAATTGTGCTTGTCGACCCGCTGGGGGCAGCATCGTGCAGCACGGTAGGAACACCATCAAATATGGGCCTGCTGCTGAACCACAGATAGCAGGCGTACAAATGCCCTTAATGTCCGTCCTCCATGCTAATAATACAGCAGAAAGATGCCTCCGTGTTCACAACATCCTGATTCAGATTTATTCAAAACCGAGAAAACTCTGACTAAGCCTATTTGCTATTCCCCTTTGCTACTGAAATTTAACCTCTCCCCGCATACGCTACATGTGTCTCTCCTCTCACGTTCCCCAGGAAGTTGAGGAATTGGGGCACTTGCGTCTCAGCCTTGAGGTCTGATTTCATAAACATCAGGTCAGATGGGCATGTTGAAATCCCACGGCCATCAAGCCGGTTCCGACTCACAGCAATCCCGCAGAGGTTTCTAAGACTGTAAATCCTTACAGGAGCAGACAGCCCCGTCTTTTCCTCTAGACCGATATGCAGGACAAGCTAATAAACAATAAATAATAACAGCTAACACTTGGCGAACACTTGTTAGGTGTCACGTGGCCAATCAGTTTGCCTGCACGAGCTCCTTGCATCCTCAAGGAAATAAATAGATAGGCTTGCCACCTCCATTTTGCAGAGGAGAAAAGCAAGGTTCTGGGGAATTAACTTGCTCCAAAGTCACGTGGCTACCGAGCAGCCAAAAGGGAGTTCTGAAGTGCCTGACTGAGAGAGCCAAAGCTACAGCTGGCTGCCATGAGCCTGTGATGTAGCTCAAAGGGCCGCCCACTCTCTCCACAGGAGTCCCCCCTCCACAGGGCAGACACCACACCACACCACACCGCAAGAAGGCAGTCCACACCTGGCAGCCCACTGAGAAAGCAGCCCCGGCGACGTGCAGCATCAGGATCCTTGGAGCTAGAAGTCGCCAAAGATAAGCTTCCCAGACAGGCAGAAGTACCGGCCTAACACGATGGTGTGGCATTTCTTTTGTTTTAATAAAAAGGAGAGATTAAATAGTATGATCTGGGAATCGATCCGAGATTGAAGGATTGGGGTCCTAGTCTCGCCGATCCTGAACAGGCAATCTAACTAAGCTTAACTCTCGTGGTTCATTCAGAGAGCTAACCTGTTGCCATGCAAAGTGTCTTAAAGAATTGGAATGCTGTCAAACTAGCTTAGCACCATGAAATGGTACAGCTTAAGGAGAGACTCTAGAAACGCCTGGAACACAACACACAGCCTTCTCCAAAGTGCTTTCACAAGTGGTGTGGAGAAACGCGGTAACTGAAAATTGACTCTGCAACTCGAGTAATATGCACTCTGCCTTTTACTCTATCCAATTCCTTTGAAATGATTTTAAAGAAATACAATGGATAGCACAATCATGCTAAAGGCAATTGGGGGGGAAATGAAATATCTAAGTCCGTCTCTTGGAGACCTAGAGCACATTCTTGAGAATCCAAAACAAAACCCACTGCCACAGAGTCAATCCTCACTCAATTCTGACTCTCCCCCACAAGGCAGTTGATGGGCTTGAACTGCCGACCCAGGGGTTCCCAGTCCAGTGCCTACCCCACAGCGCCACCACGGCTCCTTTCTTGAGAAGGAAGCCATAAGACTAAAGCAGAGCAAAACAGTGGCTCCTTGCCAATCACCAACGTGTTTGGGGTCTTCCCAAAGGGGAGGGAGGTGAAGGGACAGAGAAGGAAAGGAGTAGGAATAAAACACAGAAAAGACTTATAAATGAAAAAAGCTAGAAATCCAATCTCAGCAATATCTGTTTCTGAGAAAAACAAGACAGCTACTCACCTGTCCACTGCTTCTACGTCAAAGCAAAACCTCTTCTCGATAGAGTCTGTTTTCCGCCTTGTGCAGGATTTCAGGGTGACAGATTCATCTTCTCCCTGTGGAACACACAGATCGTAAAGGGAGGCCGGGTGGGGACGCTGCTCTCTCCAGAACAAGCCTGACACCTAAATCGGAATGACCACTTGTCTTCTCAAACCTGAGTGTTCACAGCCAGGTAGTCAGAGCGCTGGTTACAACCTTCTCAGGCAAGAGGATCATGCACCTGCACTTTGTAACCCAGGCTGTACTTACAACCAGACACCGGAAGCACTGGCAGACCATGAGGGGACAGCATTACTACTACAGGGTAGCTATACTTGTACCTTGCCTGCCAACTGAAAGTAAGGAGGACTAGCTGATAAAGATCAAGTATGGATTACAATTCAATGTAAAGAAAACCAAAATCCTCATATCTTCATGATAAATGAAGAAAATATTGAAATGGTCAAGGATTTCGTCTTGTTGGAATCCACAATCAATACGCATGAAAGAAGCAGTCGAGAGATCAAGCAACACATTGCCCTGGGTAGATGTGCTGCACAAAAAAGGCAGGCTGTTACCTTGAGGACTAAGGTGTGCCTGAGCCAAGCCACGGTATTGTCTACTGTCTCATATACATGAGAAAGTGAGACACGGAAAAAGGAGGGCGGGAGGACCCTCGCATGTGGATTACAGTGCTGCGGGAGAAAGCTGAAAGTCCCATGGGCTGCCAGAAGAACCAACAAATGTGTCTTGGAAGAACAGCCAACGTGCTTCTTAGAGGCACGGACATGTCACGTGACTAGACCCTGGAGGACCGAACACTTGGTCCAGTAGAGGGGCAGCCAAAAAGAGGAAGACCCTCGACACATTGGACTGGGGTGTTCAAACACCAGAACACCTGTGAGGACGCCGCCCCTGGGGCCAGTGGGTCATTCTTTAATACAGAGGGTCACGGTGTGCCGGAACCCACTCCATGGCACTCAACAACAACAAACATGTGTGTGTGTGTGTGTGTGTGTGTGTGTTGTTTTTTAAAAAGTGTGACCTGTTTGGTAAGTGTTCAACAAGATGACCATGAAGTCCCTTCCGAGTTTCTATGGCCTAGATTCAGGCCTCCTTCCTTCAGGAAAGCCCTCCTGGCCCAAGTCCAATGCCCCCATGGCTGGTTCACATAGACCATATACTGCTCCCTCATAACGGAGTTCACAGCTGAAAAGTTCCACCGATGTAGGTGGTAATTCAGGTGTCTCATCCCCTGTTCAAATAGAAGCTCCCTGCGGGCAGAGGCTGTGGCAGTTTTGGCTCACTATTGGATTCCCAGAACCTAACCAGGCCCTGCAAGAGTAGGTACTGCACAAAGGTCTCAACGGCTTGAATGAAGTATACTTAATGTCATTAAACTCTACACACTTAAAGTGTATAAATGGATGCTTTGACCTTGGAAAACTATTACCCTATCAAACTTGTGAATATTTTCTATGATCTCCCCAAAATTCGCTCACGCTCCTTTGTAATCTATCCCTCCTTCTACTCCATCCCCAGGCAACCAATAAATCTGCTTTCTATCATTATACTTTAATCTGTATTTCCTAAATTGTACATGAACTGAATCATACAGTGTGACAGGTCTTGTGTTAACTTGGCTAGGTCAGGGTTCTCTCTGAGTGATGTAACACACGGCAGTCAATTCTGTGATGGTATCTAGCATAGACTAACCAGCCCTGTGGGCGAAGAGATAGCCTCAATGCAATTAGAAGAAAGACTCCTCGGGGTTGTGCGCTGCTCCTTTTAAAGCAAACTCCACAGCAAGCCTTGTCACTTCTGCTAGATCTGGGTCCTGCGTCTGTTTGCAGACCACCTGCTATCTTGCCTTCCGATCCCAGGAGCCATAGCAGACTGTGACCTTGGATTCCTTCAACTCTGCACCTACCAGCCTGTGCTCTTCCTGCTTTCTGGTTCATCAGCTCCCACAGCTACTTGAGTCAGATGCCTTCAGCTTAACATCTGACCCATGGACCTGAATTAGACTGGATTTACTCATTTCTACAACTATGCGAGCCATTCCTTGATATAGCTTTTTCCATATAAACACACACACACACACACGCCTCACTGGTCTTGCTTCTGTAAAGAACCCTGCTTAACACACACAGTGTGTATTCTTTTTTGCCTGGCTTCTTTCACTCATCATAATTATTTTGTGATTCATCTGTATTGTTCTTTTCATCTACAGTGTATTTCTGTGGTGATAATTTCTCTTGTAGATTAATACCAAACTAGTCCCAAGAAGCTGGAGATTAGAGAAGTCCCTAAAGTCCAACTCTTACAAGATGCGAGTCTGCGCCACGCTCCCACTCTTCTTCGCTTGAGGACACTCCTCCCTCCCCTCTCTGGGTTCTGTGAGCTGCTGTAAAGGACTCAGAACTCTGAGGAAACGAACCACGGGTGGTGGGTACAGTTGGGTCCAAAATTTAAAGGCCAGGAAGGGGTAAAGCCTGAGGTCATGCTCCACTCCTGGCTAGGGCCAGTGATGAGATCCCTTCCCCTGCTTCTCAATGGGATTATTTTATATGCATCGGGATGGCATTTCAGCAAACCTGTTCACAATGATTCAAATCCCATCAATGTCTTCTCGCCATCTTCTTACTGAACCCATGCAAGGAGAGGTCGTTTGGTGGGAGTTATAATGGTACAATTGACCTTCACCCAAATGCAATCATCTATTCTCCACCCTGGAGTATATCTTATTTGTGCCTGTATGACCTGGGGTGTCTGACAGGATGGTTCTAGGAAGCACTGACCTCCTGCTGGTCTTAATCTGCCAGGCTTTTCCCAAAGCCACCCTAGAAGCCCCCTTCCTCCTCTCAGCTGGAGTATAGCATTCCCTGTATCTATTACAATTACAGTAACCAAGATAACCATCTTAATCTCACCCTACTCCTGTTCGTTAGCAGACAATCCCCTCCAAAATGTGACTATAGCCACAGGTGTAAGAAGTCCAGAGTTACATAAATCACATAGAGGCTTATGGCTGGAAGGGTCATATTAATTAAGTACAGCTCAGTTTCTTTGTATTGCTGAGTAGTATTCCATTGAATAAACATACCACCGTTTTATCACATAGTAATTTATTGTCTATAGATACAGAGGTTCTCGTCTATCATACCTTCTCTTTCTTTCACTTTATACCTTCTCTTTCTGTCACTGAGGAATTTGTCAGGTTTCCTGCTACTCTGGCCTCTAACACTCTTTTTCTACACTAGGGAGAAAATTACAATCTTTCTCAGTTCGCTGTACCAATAGAAAAATGTGGCTGCTTAAGGTAAAACTACCAGCACACAGAAGACCTAGGAAAAGTTTCTTTATTTTCACAGGTCTTACCCTCTATTATCTTGTACTTATGAGTAAAGATTATTTCTCAGACTGACAACTCTTCTTGCTCCAAATGTGTAAAATGTAAATGCCCAGCCACAGGGATTCTGGCGACTTGAAGTCGAACTATATTGAAGACTTAATGGCTCTGGACTAACTTCCACTGAAAAGGCTTACTTGAGTCATTCCTGAGAAATGGAAGGTAAAGGGGTCTACAAATGTCTATCAACTGAAGCCCACAAAAAGAGAAAGACTGTTCTACGCGTGACCATACGCTAACAAGAAGAATCTACAAAAATGGTCTGTTCAATTTACACAAGCTTCACTGCTATCCAGTCAATTCTAACTCACGGTGCCCTACAGGGCAGAGTAGAACTGCCCTTGCGGTTTGCAAAATGTAACTCTTTGTAAAGTCTCATGCTCCCTCCTCCTCGGAGCTGCTGATGGGTTTGAACCACTGACCTTCCGTCAGCAACCCACTGTGTAATTCACTATGCTACCAGGGCTTCTGTTCAACTACTCCACTATTAACAATTTTAAAAAGGAAAAAAGAGTGGAGAAATAGGCAACCCTAACAAACTGATAAGTGACAAAGAAGAAATTAGGAGAGAAATGTCTATTTCGAGACAATAAATGTATGCTGTGAAGGAAGAGAGGAGGCCTGTTGGTGCAGGAGACAGAGGAGGCTGTCTGTCTGCCTCTGCCTCATAAACCCCAGGAAGCAGTTCCACTCAGCCCAGAGGGTCACCATGACTCAGACTCGATGCCTGATGGCAGTGGGGTTTTAGGAAGGAAAAATAAAAAAGGATGATAATAAAGAGCTTGGGATGAGAAAAGATGGTGGGAAGAGGGAAGATGCAGACAGGTCTAGTCTCCCACCCAACTCGTGGTGGCGCTGTGCTTCTGCTGTGCTGGAAGTTTCTTCAGAAGGAGGAGTGTGCCCTCCATGTGCCCTCTAGGATAAGGCTGGAGGGATGCTCAGCTCACTCTCGGATGCTCCCACTAGTCTCTTGAATTTAAAGTCCGCTTGTTAGTCATCCTCCACATGGGCTGCATTTCCTGGGTGGTGCAAACTGTTATCACACTTGGCTTCCAACCCAAAATTGGAGTTTCAAGTCCATCCAGGGGCTCCTACACAGAGAGGCTTGTTAATCTACTTCCCCCCAAAATTAGTCTGCTCTGACCCATTGCGGCCGCTGGGCTAGCATTCTCAGTTTAGTAGTAGCAGTGGTCGTCATCATCGTTGGTTCCAACTCATAGCAACCCTCTGCACAACGGAATGAAACAGTCTGGGGTTGCACCAGCCTTGCCGGCGCTGTCCTTCAGCTCGCCGTGCTGCCACGGTGTCAGTGCTTGTGGTGAGGGCCTCCTCGTCTATTTCACCGCTGCCCACTGAAGCCTGATGTCCTTCTCTCCCGGTAACTCGACCAGAGTACACGAGACCAGACCTCGCATCCTGCCTCTGCAGAGCATTCCGACTACTACTTCCAAGACAGACTGGCTGGTTCTTGGGCAATCGTGGTCCTGTCTATGTTCTTCGCCAGCACCATAACTGAAATGCATCAGTCATTCGTTATTTATTCAATGTCCAACTTTCACATGCATACGAATCAATCGAAAATACCCTGGATTGGGTTAGGTGCACCCTAGTCCTCAAAGTAATATCCTTGCTTTTCAACACTTTAAAGAGACCTTGTGCAGT